GCTTTTTCAACTGGGACATTGTGCTCCTTGGACTCATTCACCTGGGAAACGGAAGCACCCCTAGCGCCCGGCACCACAACCTCTTCAGTAGCCGCGGCACAAAGGAATGCAAGTCAAGGTCCGGGTGAGCATCCTCGATCTGGTCCCTACAGTTCAGGAACCCTTTCACAAAGGCAGAGGCGTCCTCTCTCAACAGCTCAGACACTCGGGGCCATAAAGATGTTAGCTTGAAATCCCTGACCTTCAGGTCTGCATCCTTGGCTTTGATTTCATCGTCCTTAGGTCGCGAGGTCTGTATCTTTAGCCTTGAGTGTGGCCTCCAAGCCCCCTATCTACGACTCTTTTAGCGCAATATGGTCCTAATGGCAAGAGTCCAGCTCATCGTTGATCCTTTTCAACTCCGTGACCTTGGAAACCAGAACCTGCAGCTTCCCCTCGGCAGCTTCCTTGTTGATTGCCATGATGTCGAGAGCATCCTTGGCCTCCTGGAGATCCCGCTCATGATGAAAATCCAGCATCTTCACGCAGGCAAGCGACTATGAAAGAAAAAGGAGATCGGATAACGTGAGAAATAGGAAAAGAATTCAAGAACGACTAAGTAGATAGAGGAAACAAGAAGGTACCTCGGCTAGGACTTGGATGGTATGCTGGATCTTCCTTTTAAAAGGAACCTCTATCACCGATTGAGGATCTAATGTGGAGATTAGCTCTGATAGAGCAGCTACTGTGGCCTTGGGATCGTGAAGAAAGCCGCCCCCATGCAACTTAGACTTAGAAGGGGAGAACTTCCTTTTTTCACCATTTAGAGAAACTGTTTCGGGTGAGGCAGAATGGGGGACCGAAAATTCGAGCTTGTCTGCTGAAGCCCCCTCCGAGCAGGTGTTGCCTTGGAAAGTGCAGAAGAAGGCAGGGGCACGGTAGCATCCCCTCTGGGAGGAACGACTTCACTTTTTTGTTCCAAAGAAATGGGTGTGGGCCCAATGGCCGACGCTTCCTTGGGTGGAAGTTGAGCTCCCTTCACCAATTTCCTCCTCTTTCTCGATTGCTCAGTATTTGAGAACACCGCCATGATTAGATCTTGGTCCATGTTACCCGACTGGGAGGCAAAAGGTGGTGCAACCTCTGAAGCTCGGATAATGGGCGATCCTAGCCTGTGTTTAGCAAGGTTTTCGTCAGTCACTAAGTTAAAGAAATCCCTCAACCCAAATGCTTCAATTCTAGCAACTCGGGCTGCCTCCTCTGTGGCGAGTACTGGGCAGAATTCTATAAACCAGATCAAAAGTTAGAAACAAAAAGAAGAAGAGAAGGTAACAAAAAGGAACATGGCCGATAGATTAGTCTTACGAGTATTCCTTGGAACCCCCAAGATCTTGGAACACGAGGAATGTCGTCAGGCTTCCCTGATAACTCCCAGGAATTGCCCCTAGCAAAAAAAAAAACCTCGGTTTCCATCCTTTATTGGAAGACGAAAGCCCGGAGATCAGAGTCTTCGCCTTTACCTGTTTAGCAAAATACAAGAAACCTGAGGAGAGAGAAAACTTCAACTGAAAAAGGGAAGCAAATTCTCGGATAGAGGGAAGAGAGAGGTTTCCACTCTCAAACCAATGGACAAGGAAACCAACCAGGAGGCCCCAACCGTTGGGAGACAGTTGGGCTGGACAGACGTTATAGAATCCAAGAACATTCCAGATAAAAGGATGGATAGAAAATCAAAGACTAACCCAGAATACAAACTCGAAGAAGCAAGTGAATCCAGTGAGAATAGAATTACACCTTTCATGCTTCCCGGGGGTATGCAATTTCACGAAATTAGGAAAGCGATACTCACGCCTCAATTCCTCCAAATCCTCATCACCAAGACAGCTGGAGATCCCCTCCGCATAATAGGTCAGGTCAGATGGCTCACGATGAATTCGCTTCTTAGAAATGGGGGGCAGAGCCGGCCCAGATTTCCTCTTCTTCGATTGAGTCAGAGAATCAGGAGGTAGGGCGGAAAGAGGCGTAGCTTTGGCTGGAGGCACCGAGGATGAAACTCCGGGAGTAGACTCAGGAGCTCCATCGCCAACAAAAAGAAAACGCTCACTAGAGGAAGCCGTGGTGGTCTCCTCGGCCTCCCCACTAACAGACTCTGATTCAGAAGAAGAAACGATGAACTTTCCCATCAAAAGGTCGGATCTCACACCAGAGTGAAGGGAAGGTAAATGTAAGGCACAATCCGCCAAAAATAAAGGTTTCAAACACCAGACCCTAAGTAAGGATACCCTCGTCATTGAAGAATGACCTACGAATCGAGAAATGGAAGAAAGGTCGTCAGAGTGTTCTCTAAAATAAATAAACCTCCAGATCAGGAAGCGGAATCCAAAACCCCACCAGGGAGGGTTAAATGGATCCATGTCGAAATAGCAAGAAGAAAGGAAGAAAGACGTACCTAGTGAGACGCTAGAGGAAGAGGAGAACCAAAGACGAGGATGTCGTAAGTCGCCCAAGAGTCTGGATCAAGATGTTTCGAAAGCACAGAAAGGGAAAGGAGCATGAAGGAAAGTGGAACTCGGAACCATAGAACAAAAAGCCAAGAGACCTTCCCCCTAGAGGGACGTATATGTATGTGTGAAGCACTAAATTCATGACAAGCAAATGACAGGACACGCCACAAAAGCCGTACCCACGAGCTCACTCAATGGTGACACGTGTGCATTACCATTCCATCATTGCCGACAAACGAAGACATGGCCCAATCCTGATCAGAACCAATAGTCGGACACAGTGGTCACTTCGAAAGCCCATGACGAGCCCAGAAAAGTCATTTTTAACCCCAGGCTAGAAATGATAACATCTTCATGACTTGGGGCTGGGGGGCAACTGATACGGACGAAACTCAATACCAAGGCTTTGATGGCCTAGAAGCCTGACCAGCCAAAGAGGCCCGTAGTAGAGAAGGAGAACTTAGCATCTGTAAAAAGCCTATAACCCAACAATCCAGACCCAGTCCAAAATATAAAACGATTTGAAGATTGAAAGCCCGGTCCAAGCTATTTCTGGATCGCCAGAGGGGACCACGCATCCTAGGGATCCAAGGTACCACTTCTGACACCTACGACAATCTCAGAGAAGGTGAAGCACCAGGCCACCAAAGATCGTGGTGACGGCAGCGCCGGATGAACAGTGATCGTGGTGACAGAAGAAGCAAGAGGGGGAACAAAGGAAAGGACAGCTGAAGGCCCTAAGAGGGACTAATATAAATAGAAAACGATAACCTAGGCAAGAGTAGCTCTATCTCTCCCAAAAATCAGAGAACATTCAAGAGCCTAAGAACGTAGAAAGCTGAGAGAGGATACCTAGATACTCATTCTTTGTAAGTAGACTCCAAGTCCCGAGTTACAGGAGGCACACCTCCGACCAATGAATATACAAACCCAGCGAGCAAGAGACTCCATTGATAGTAGATATAGTCTTAGTCCTTGGGCTAAGATGAACCACTTATATTCCCAGTATAATTGATCATAAAAGATTAATTCATAATCTACAAAACCACTTTAGAACATCATCCCATCATAGTTGAGCTTGGGCCATAAATTCTGAGCACCATCAGTTAGTATTACATGAGAAAAATATTTTGCATTTTCAAAATTTTCTTATCTGTCGGACAAGATATTCATCATCCCCAGCTGTTTAGCATGGAGTCCACAATGCCTTACACAAACAAGAGACAATTTGTGTACATGTTTGATTTGATTAGATATTTTTGGGGTCAATTGAAGTTGCTTGAAAAATTAAGCCCCCCCTAAATATGAACCATCAATATGTTTTGAGTGGTCATATTCAACACAGTAAGTCCAAACTTGTACCCACATGTGAAAACAGGAAAGTGCCAAAAACTGTGACCCAGCACCACGAAGTACTCAATTTCGTTTTTTTTGTCAACGATCAGTGATATTCGGCTCAGTTTATACACATATTGATTAATCTTTTTTTTGATTCGGTCAAAGATAGATCATTTACGCAAAAATTAGAGCATACATATTAAATAAATCTTTTATGATCTAACCCTAAAAGATTGTCCAAAGTTCAAACTCAAGACTTTTGTATTTGTGACTTGTTAATATTCTCGTCTGACATACTCTTTGAGGGTTGCTCAACTATGTTTTACAGGTGACAGAAAACAATGTGGGCTGCCAATCCCCAATTTTTGAACAATTCAGAGCCATAAGTTCGAAGGTTCTTTTAGTATGATGCCAAAGGAAAGCATTATAAGAGTTGACAATAATTAACACGATCGGATACATAAAAAGGGGATTAATATGTGTTTAGATCATTATTGATTGCTAGGGGTGTAATTTAGGTGGGTTGGACGAGTTGGGTAGTCAACCCTAGCTCAACTCTAAGTATATAGTCTTCAACCCTAACCCTAACTCTACCATCGGATTGAANTGGGTGGGTTGGACGAGTTGGGTAGTCAACCCTAGCTCAACTCTAAGTATATAGTCTTTAACTCTAACCCTAACTCTACCATCGGATTGAAAAACTCAACCCGACCACTGCTCGAGTTTAATTCGGGCGGGCTCGGATTGAATTCGGCTTAATGATTTCAGACTGATTTCGGGTTACTTTACGGGTTGAGTTCGGGTAGAGTTCAAAATATGCTTGTTGTTCTCAACACATCTATTACATAATATTCACCTAAATTAACAACCAATAACTTCAACCAAATTAAATTCGGATTGAGGTTTTTTTGACCCAAGTCCAACCCAAGTATTAAAAATCATTGCCGAAACCCTAATTTTTTCGAATTGNAAGGGGTTGACAAGATTCAAATTCAGAATGTTTGAATTTACAATTCGTCCGTATTATCCCTTGTGATTAATGTCCCACATTCCTATCCGAACTTGAGTATTTTTCGTAACACAAATATACAATTACAAGTTTCTATAGTTGTTACAATAGTAAGTGATGTGAATGAGAGTTACAAAATAAATGACGATCCAAAATAGCATACCAACTAAGTTTATTTCCATTGCACACAATGTATCTGAAAATATATCATATTGTATATACTTGTATTACGTACCAAATCAACCAACTATTTAAGTAACTTTAGGTTGAATCATAAAAACCATGGGAGCTCGAAGACTATGTACCTTGGGCCCTATTCGAAGGGAGTAGTCATTCCTTTTGGCGCAATATTTGTTTATGTCTTTACACAGAAAGTTTCAAGCAGTTCGATGGAACTGCAGTGCGTGCTTCCACAGTCGCAGCTGAAACCACTCTTTTCTCATCAAACAAAGGCGAAGAGCATCTACAAAAGGAAGAAACGAGACGACCCGAATCACCATATCCACGGGAAGCTTGGAGAATCCATCACCATGGGAGGCCATGAAGCAAAGCTCGATTTGAATGAGGGAAAAAATGAATGAGAAAACTGAAGAATTGAAGAGAAGAGCAAGAGAAGAGAGATTTTTTTACAAAGTGTAGAGTTTGTAGACTGGAGTTTTAACCTGTAAGTACAGAAGAAGCACAACTGGGTTGAAGCTGACTGTGATGCAAAATAAAACATTGCATCTGAGGAAAGTTTAAGGATAAAATTGATTACTTATACTTGGTAAGTTAGTAATTATTATTCAACAAATAGTAATTCAATAATTAGTATTTTAACTTACCAACTTTCTAATCAATCAGTTTTATGGAAACAAATTCCATTGTAGTATTTGACGATGGAGAAGTTGACACACCGTGAAAAGACCATTTAGTCCAAGTTCACCTTAGCTCCGAGTAAGGCAATTGAATTCTTATTTGGGTTAATTTCACATTATACTCCAAAAGATTGTTTGAATATTAATTTGTATCTTCAAAGATAAGAATTTTAATTTGCAACCTTAAAAGTAGAATTTTGTATCAATGTGTACCTCAAGTTAACGGTCGTCAATTTGTCGTCTAAAACTAACCGGATAAATTACATATATATTTCCTCATGCTTGTCACTTAACTACTTAGACCCCTCACATTAGAAATATTACACTTACATTTCTTGAGAATCTAAATATGACTAAAAAAGTTATCTCAATTGGGCATTCAAATAATTATGTTTAAGTGATGTATTGCATTGAATAAAAAAAATATTATATAAATACCTGCATTATATTGAACATTCAAATAATAAGTTTGATTTGAAGTTTAGGGTATAATGGGTCTACAAAATAAATGGTAGTATGAAATTATAATTTTTTCTTAGGATGAAATCATATTTTTTAACGGTTATATTAACAGATATTCACAACAAAGGGTTATGTGTTACATGTACACAAACGATAGGAGATATAATAGTAATATTCTAAATGTGAGGGGATCTAAATGATTAAATGATAAGAATGAGGGAACCAATGTGTAATTTATCCATTTAGTTTTAAATGACAAAGTGAGGCTGTTAGTTTCAAGTGTACATTAATACAAATTTTTATCTTTGAGGGTGCATATTAAGATTTTTTATTTTTCGGGATGCAAATTAAGATTCGAACATTCTTTCGGAGTGCAATTTGAGATTAACCCTTCTTAATTTTATATTCTTCCTCTGAAATAGACTTTTTATGACTTAGACGTTGGAGTGTTAGTCATCGGAGCTCTCATTCGGTCTCCAATTTCTTTTTTAAGAATTTGAAGCCAAATGAGTTGACGTGGAGGTCACCTCAAATTTTGGCATCATCAATATTACTATGTTGTGTTTATACACTTTAACGTTCAACATTATTTGCACAAAGAGGTTGCCTCAAATTTGAACCTAACCTTTGGCCATCATAAGGCATCGTAAGTTATTATTCAACTAGTTAATGCTTTTTTACTTCAACCCACCCATGGAATGCACGGGTCGAACAGCCCGTTATCTTCTTTTCTTGTCCTTCTGTTTTTCCNTGGTTGAAATAAACCAAATATTTTAAAATATAAGTCGAAACACCTCGAAACACAACAAAACATAAGAATTTTGATATTCAATCAATGATTTATTTGAATTTTGATGAAACCAGAATGTTTTGAACATTTCGAGATAAAATTTAATTCCTTTCCCCAACACACACTTCAAGAAATGCTATAAATAGGAGCAGACACATGAGAAGGCTGCATTACTTCATTGTAAAATTTTAGATCTAGTCCCCCCCCCAAAAGTCACACACACACACACAAAAAAGGTCCTTTAGCCAAACACTTCACAGCATGGCTTGCTATGCAAAAGCAATCCAATGCAATTTCCACATTTTCTGATCACTTTCAACAACAATTCTTGGCTTCTAAACCTCATATCTCATCTCTTCCCTTCAAACATCTGGCTCTGAAATAACAAAATCGATCTTTTAGCCTGAAAACCTCTCTACATCTCATCAGTCACAGGTCCGAGATTATTCGACGATACAAAAGATTCAAACCCTCCAATTATCCGACCATAATTTAGCAACTAGAAATTGATAGGGTTAGGATCCCAACCAAATATTTTTATTTAGGATTAAGTATACGTAATATATCCCGTGTAAAAAATAAATAATAGTTGTATGTAGACTTACTCTTTTACGTTATTTGCACAAAGTGTCTGCCTCATATTTGAACCTAACCTTTGGCCATTATTATTCAATTTATATAAAACAGAGTATAAAAGGTTAGTGATAGATTTTTCAAAAAGATGTAGATAAGTGCTCATCACGGAGATTACGTAGACACTTTGATCATTTGAATGGGAGGAAGCATAGCAGGGCCGACCCCTAGGACTCGACTATTAACTATGTTCTGAGGCCCTTTTGAATGGATCAGGTTAAAAACACAATGTATTTTACAAGTCTATGTATAGTGATGATGTATGTAACACGATAGAACAGAGATAAGAGATTGTTGGGTACTGAGTAACTCAGTCTGACCTCCTGGATTCCTAGGTTGTGGACTAGGGAAAGGGGATTACACACAAAGAGTTTATAGTGGTTCACCAGGTCGGGAGCTCGACTAATTGACTCTTCAAAAGAGTCTTGTGCTCCTGGGCATTATATTAAAAAGAAATGAGATTACAAAGTGTTGTTCTGGTTACAATTGCTTGTGCGTCTTCTGCTAGAGGTTTTGCCCCTTATTTATAGTTGATCCTGAGCTTCACTTGATCTTTGGCGAAATCCTTGCCTCTTCCTTGTAACGGTTGCTACTATCATGCAACGGATGTGGAGGGTTTTGGGGGCAGTTGTGACTCTATTGCCTGGATATACAACCGTTACTATCTGGGTGGCGCTTAGGTAGAAACCAACTGTCTTCTGTGCTATCCTTCTTGAGATGCAATTGCAGGGATGAGAGGTTTGACCTTAAGCTTCATGGTCATCTAAGGTGAGTTCGACTCCCAATCTAGGAAGCATGACCTGAATTCCCAAGCTCAACCTTAAGCATATTTAAGGTATCATCAGTTGCCCCCCAGTCCTTGGTCAGGTATAGTTATATGAGCTGGGACTAAGTTCTGGCCTGGGTGAGCAAGGTTGTCTGGGATCGACCTTGAGTTGTGTACGGTGGGACGTTTCTCGATTGTTACGGCGTTGTGACTGTGCAATCATTTCTACCTCATTTCTCGCGCACGTCCCTTATCCCCCTATTTCCACGTGTCTATTTGTACGCTCGCCTCAAATGCATTTGCTGGAGAAATCTTCTTTCTCATTAATTCGAATCCCTTTCGCCTTCAGTTCTCCTGTTCTTTCCTCTTTTCTAAAGTTTAGTCTTCTTCAACCTCCTAGTGACTTAGAATTTTACTGGTAAAAGCCCCAATATGCTTTGGACTGCCTCTGACACTTCCTCAATTCCTTTCTGGAATCCACCTCAGGTTTTTGATGATTGATCGTCTTCGATTAGGTACATCTTCTGCTCTGTTCTCTCTCTTTTGTTCTTCTTAGAGTTCTTAACTCGTTCTGAATCCTTCTTGCCCTAGGTGGTTACTCCATTTTTAGACCTTTCATTTATGTTATTTTAGAAATCGAGGTTGTTCTTTCTCCTTCCTCCCTATCTTTCTAGACCCTTATTCTATTGCTAGGATTTTCCTTTTCAGCTGCTCGAGACTTGACCCTTGGGCTCTCAAGGATTGTTTTACCAACACTCCTCCCCTCTACACTTCTTTCAATCTTCCTTTCTCCTATTATTTGCATCGCCATTGAAATTCAACTAAAATTCAACACACTGAAGTTCGACTTTGTATTATCTCACTCAGAGTTTCTTTGAATTTGAAGGTTATCGCTTAGTAGATTTCTACACCAAGACTCAATCCAATTAAGTCCGTAGCAACGGAACACTCAATGCCTAAGTTGTTACACGTTGTTGATTTCATACTCCTCCAGTGCCAATGTATTTTGAGTAGTTCTATTCAGTTCTCGAAAATGAGATAACCATTATAAAGAAAAAGTGTCAAAGATGCATTGCAAAACAGAGAATTACAAAGTAATAAAAAATATATATAAATTGGATTATCTTCATGAAAGCTAAATTCCGGACAAGATACAGGCCTTAAACTAATAATTGATCAATAAGATTGACTTGAGAAGAGAGTCGACTTATCATTAAATGCAAAAATGTTTTGATTTTGACAGCAAAAACTCATTTAGTTAGTGATACGGACGAAACTCAAGGCCAGGGTTTTGATGGCCCAGAAGCCTGACCAGCCCAAGAGGCCCGGAGCAGAGAAGGAGAACTTAGTATCGGCAAAAAGCCTATAACCCAACAATCCAGGCCTAGTCCAAACCATAAAGCGATTTGGAGATTGAAAGCCCAGTCCAAGCTATTTCTGGATCGACAGAGGGGACCACGCATCCTAGGGATCCAGCGGACCACTCCTGACACATACGACAATCTCAGAGAAGGTGGAGCATCAGGCCACCATAAATCGTGACGACGGCAGTGTTGGATAAACAGGGGCGCCAGATGAACAATGATCGTGGTGGCAGAAGAAGCAGGAGGGGGACAGAGGACAGGATAGCTGAAGGCCCTATGAGGGACTAATATAAACAGAAAACGATAACCTAGGCAAGAAAAGCTCTATCTCCCCCAAAAATCAGAGAACANTGTATGTGGACTTGGACATTATTTGCACAAATTGTCTGCCTCATATTTGAACCTAACCTTTGGCCATTGTTATTAATTTTATATAAACTAGATAGTGCATCACTCAAACACAAACACACATAGAATAACACAGTATAAAAGGGTTAGTGATAGATTTTTCAAAAAGTTGTAGAAAAGTGGTCATTATTACAAGATACACAGACACTTTGATTATTTGAATAGGAGGAGGCATTGTAAGGCCGACCCATACAACTCGACTATTAACTCTGTTCTAAAACCCTTTTGAATGGATCAAGTTAATGACACAATGTATTTCACAAATCTATATAAAGTCTTGTAGAAAACCTTAAAATGTGTTGGACTTGTTTGATCTCGTTTGATCCTCAAATCACTAAACCATTGGAACTAAATCATACAACAACTTTATAAATTATTGATCGAAATCTCATGTGAAATTCCTGTTTTCCCGTGTTGGACTGTCCTGGTGAGGTAGTTTCGATACCTAGGTTAAATGTAATTGTGAG